ATCCACTCACCTCAGCCTCCCAAAGGCACGGGATTACAGGTTGAGCCACTGAGCCCGGCTTATTTTCTATTTTTTATTTTTATTAATTTATTTATTTTTGAGTCATAGTCTCCCTCTATTGCCCAGACTGGAGTGCAGTGGCGTGTTCATGGCCAGCGCAGCCTCGACCTGCTAGGTTCTGGCGATCTTTCCACCTCAGCCTTTCAAGTAGCTGGAACTACAGGCACATGCCACCATGCCCGGCTAATTTTTTGATTTATTGTAGAGACGAGGTCTCACCAAGTTGCCCAGGCTATTCTTGAATCCTTAGACTCACGCAATCCTCTTGCCTCGGTCTCCCTAAATTCTGGGATTACAGGCTTGAGCCACCATGCCCGGCCTAGTCTTTTTGATTTATTGTAGAGATAAGGTCTTGCCAAGTTGCCCAAGCTGGTCTTGAACCCCTTGGCTCAGGGAATCCTCTCACCTCACCCTCCTAAAGTGGTGGTATTACGAGTGTGAGCCACTGTACCCAGCTTGTTTGGGTATTTTCTTTACATCATTTTTTTCACACTTTGCTATAGAGTTCAGGCCCCTAGACCCACATGTCTATAGGGTGTAGACTGTGCTAGGAGGTCTCTGGGGCATGTCTAACATCCAACCCCCAAAGTTTCTCTCACACTTCTTCCCTCTGCACCTTTCCATTCAGATTATGGTTCTAACACTCTTAGCTCATCTTCCGTTGTTTTAGGGATGTGCTGGAAGCCTCTGGATTGACAAGGCTTTTACCTCCTCTGCCCTGTGTTCATAGCAGGAACTACTCTAAAGTGAACAGGAGAGAGAGAGGCCACACTAAGAGCCCTTCGCCTAAAAAAGAAGTCTACCAGCGGCGACATGCTTCCGGATACACTAGGTGAGACAGGGACCTGGTAGGTTACTTTCATGTCCTGCGGGCCTGAATCGAGAAGGGGCTCAAACCAGGGCAGTTGGACACCCGATGTCATCTCTTTGCCAAGTCAACTTTTATTTATGTTGTCAACCTTTTTTTTTTTTTTTTTTGAGTTGGAGTCTCACTCTGTTGCCCAGACTGGAGTGCAGTGGCCGCTCCCGGCCACCGCAGCTTCGACCTGCTGGGCTCCGGCGATCCTTCCGCGTCAGCCTTCCGAGTAGCTGGAATTACAGGCATGCGCTACCACACCCGGCTGATTTTTTGATTTATTGTAGAGATGAGGTCTCGCTGCCCAGGCGGGTCTCGAACCCGCAGGCTCAGGCAATCCACTCACCTCAGCCTCCCAAAGGTGCGGGATTACAGGCTGAGCCACCGAGCCCGGCTATGTTGTCAACCTTTAATGGTCAGCATACCTCCTTCCCCCAACATGCGAGGCACATTGCAAAGACAAAGTAAATAGTTTTGGCATATGTAATCATCCAGTGTTTAAGTGTCTGTCTCCCTCCATCTGTAAACATGTTAATTCCCATTGAGATTTCCAGAGAAGCTTTTCTTAAGTGGGTGTTCCTTTCTGGAAGCCTCAGGTGAAAGAGATGCAGGTGACTCTTCGTGAGGGCACACGTCCCTGGAATGAGTTTGAATTGGGTGTGGTCAGGCTGAGCCCAGGGTGGGCAGCCCTGCTGCCTAAGGTGGGGGACTGTGCCCATGAAAGGCTGGCTGTCCCTGGGTTTAGGTTGCTCTTAGTTGAGGTTTAGGTGAGACTGGCAACTTTTGTGAACTTCCTTTCACTGTATAGACCAGTATTTCCAAACAAATTGGCTGTACATTAGAATTTTCTGGAAGCTGAAAAGGAAATTCCCTTACCCAGCTGCATCCAGCCCTGTTACATCATAATCCGCTATGGGGGGACCAGACGTCAGTGTTTGTAAAGTTTCCAGGGAACAGAAACTTTTTTTTTTTTGAGTTGGAGTCTCACTCTGTCGCCCAGACTGGAGTGCAGTGGCCGCTCCCGGCCACCGCAGCCTCGACCAGCTGGGCTCCGGCGATCCTTCCACCTCAGCCTTCCAAGTAGCCGGAATTACAGGCATGCGCTACCACGCCCAGCTGATTTTTTTTTTGATTTATTGTAGAGATGAGGTCTCGCTGCCCAGGCGGGTCTCAAACCTGCAGGCTCAGGCAGTCCACTCACCTCAGCCTCCCAAAGGTGCAGGATTATAGGCTGAGCCACCAAGCCCGGCTCAGAAACATTTTTAAAAGGCTTAATTATTTTAGCTGGGCATGTAGCACAAGCCTGTAATCCCAGCTACTTGGCAGGCTAAGGCAGGAGGATCATTTGAGCCCCAGAGTTTGAGATTAGTCTGAGCAACATAGTGAGATCCTATCTCAAAAAAAAAAAAAAAAATTGACATGTTTTCTGGCAACAATTCAAAAGATGTGACCTATTTCTCTGCCTTCTCAGAGTACATATTCTGTATAACTTAATCTTTTATTGGCGACATGGGGTCAGTTCTTCAGCTGAACTGTAATTCACATTGCCCTTGGGATATTCGTGTACATATATATATATATACATTTGTTTGTTTGTTTGTTTTGTTTTGTTTTGAGTCAGAGTCACACTGTCCCCCAGGCTAGAGTGCAGTGGCACACTCATGGCCACCCCAGCCTCAACCTGCTGGGCTCAGACAGTCCTTCCGCTTCAGCCTTCCAAGTAGCTGGAACTACAGGCATGTGCCATGAAGCTCAGCTAATTTTTTGTTTTTTGTAGAGACAAGGTCTCGCCATGTTGCTTAGGCTGGTCTTGAACCCCTGAACTCGGGCAATCCTCTCATCTCTGCCTCCTGAAGTGCTGGAATTACAGCGTAAGCCACCATGCCCGGCTGGCACATGTATTTTTAAATTATTACTGTGTTATATTACCTGTAAAAAAATTAAGCAATGAAAATGATGAGAAAGAATATAAATTTAATGAGACTCTCAAAAGCCACAAGAAAAAATTAAGAGGGAAAGTCTTAGTTTATAAAAATTGCTTTATTGAGAATCTCACTACAAATGAAGCATCATCGTTTCTTTTTTTTTTTTTTTTTTTGAGTTGGAGTCTCACTCTGTCGCCCAGACTGGAGTGCAGTGGGCCGCTCCCAACCATCGCGGCCTCGACATGCTGGGCTCCGGCGATCCTTCCGCCTCAGCCTTCCAGGTAGCTGGAATTACAGGCATGCGCGACCACGCCCAGCTGATTTTTTGATTTATTATGGAGATGAACCTGGCTAATTTTTTAAAATTTATTTTAGAGAGGACGTCTCACCAAGTTGCCTGGCCTGGTCTTGAATCAGTGGGCTCAGGCAATCTTCTCACCTCGGCCTCCCAAAGTGCTGGGATTATAGGCGTGAGCCACCACTCCTGGCCAAGAAGCATCATCTTTTTTTTTTTTTTGAGTTGGAATCTCACTCTGTCGCCCAGACTGGAGTGCGGTGGCCACCGCAGCCTCACCTACTGGGCTCCGGCGATCCTTCCGCCTCAGCCTTCCAAGTAGCTGGAATTACAAGCATGCACTACCATGCCCGGCTGATTTTTTGATTTATTGTAGAGATGAGGTCTCACTGCCCAGGCGGGTCTCGAACCCGTGGGCTCAGGCAATCCACTTACCTCAGCTTCCCAAAGGCGAGGGATTATAGGCTGAGCCACCGAGCCTGGCTCATCATCTTTTTAACTGATAATAAGATCATTTTAGTTCACCAATTAAATGGAAACATAGCCTGTAATCCCAGCACTCTGGGAGGCCAAGGTGAGTGGATTGTTTGAGCCTGTGGGTTCAAGACCTACCTGGGCAACTTGGCAAGACCTAATCTCTACAATAAATCAAAAATTAGTCAGGCATGGTAGTGCACACCTATAGTTCCAGCTCCTTGGAAGGCTGAGGCGGAAAGATTACCAGAGCCCAGTAGGTCGAGGCTGCGGTGGCCGGAAGTGTGCCACTGAACTCCAGTCTAGACAGAGTGAGATTCCAACTCAAAAAAAGGGAAACACACACCCAGAAAACACATTTGCATGCAGATCGAGGCTGAAGTGGCCGTGAGTGTGCCACTGCACTCTAGCCTGGGCGACAGAGTGAGACTCCAACTTAGACAAAACAAAACAAAAATTCTGCTATCTAAAAAACTAAAATAGGGTGGGAATGCTACCTCATGCCTGTAATCCCAGCACTTTGCGAGGCAGAGGTGAGAGGATTGCCTGAGTCCAGGGGTTCGATACCAGCCTGAGCAACATGGTGAGACCTTGTTTCTACAATAAGTTAAACAAATTAGCCAAGTATGGTGGTGCACACTTGTGGTTCCAGCTACTTGGAAGGCTGAGGCAGAAGGATCACCTGGGCTCAGCAGGTCGAGGCTGTGGTGGCCATGAGTTTGCCACTGCACTCTAGTCTGGGTGACAGAGCGAGACTCTGACTCAAAAAAATAAACAAAAATTAAATTAAAAAAACTAAAACAGGCCGAGCACGGTGACTCATGCATGCATTCCCAGTATTTTGGGAGGTTTAGGTGGGAGGACTGCTTGAGCCCAGGAGTTCAAAATCAGACTGATGGCCAGGCTTGGTGGGTCAGCCTGTAATTTCGGGCTTTGGGAGGCCGAGGTGAGTGGATTGCCTGAGCCCGTGGGTTTGAGACCCGCCTGGGCAACTTGGCGAGACCTCAGCTCTACAATAAATCAAAAAATTAGTCAGGCGTGATAGCATGCAGCTGTAGTTCCAGCTACTTGGAAGGCTAAGGCAGAAGAATCGCCGGGAGCAGCCACTGCACTCCAGTCTGAGCGACAGAGTGAGACTCCAACTCAAAAAAAAAAAAAAAAAAAAGAAAAAGGAAAAAAAAAAACCAGGCTTGGGCCACATAGTGAGACCCTCATCTCTATTTTTTCAAAAAAATTCCTATTAAAAATCTGACTCAGAGCCTGTGGCCCCTGCCGGCTTCCTCTGCTGTGCCTGAGGTCTCTGCGTTTTCTAGTCTCCTGCCTGGTTCAGCTTCTCCAACCACAGGGTCTCCTGTAGAGGTTTGGGAGATAGCCCCAGGCTTCCCCAGGCCAGGCATGGGGACTCAGGGTATCTTAGCCACTCGTGTACAGACTGTCAGTGAGTCCCTTTGTTTGTAGCCAGTTGCTGAAGGACTTAGGACCGGCAGTCCCTGAGTCTTTTTTGGGTTTTGCAGTGTGGATCCACTTGCTTCTTATCAGGCGTGGACACTTTGGATTGTTTCTTCTCAGCTTCAACATAGTTACCACTTCTTTGTCCACTTCCATCTTCAAGCAGTCTGGTGACATCTCTTGTCCAGTGTTACCTCCTTTTCCATTCTCTTTGTGTTTTTTGTTTTGTTTTTTGGAGATACAGGTTTGCTCTGTTGTCGAAACTGGAATACAGTGGTGCAATCATAGCTCACTGCAGCCTTGAATTCCTGGGCTCAGGTGATCCTCTTGGCTCAGCCTCCTGAATAGCTGTGTCTATTTTTGGGGTTTTTTTTTTAGTTGGAGTCTTAGTCTGTCGCCCAGGATGGAGTGCAGTGGCATGCTCATGGCCACCACAGCCTCGACCTGCTGGACTCAGGCGATCCTTCCGCCTCAGCCTTCCAAGTAGCTGAAACTACAGGTGCACACTACCATGCCCAGCTAATTTTTTGATTTATTGTAGAGACGAGGTCTCACCATGTTGCCCAGGCTCGTCTCGAATCCGCAGGCTCAGGCAATCCGCTTGCCTTGGCCTCCCAGTGCTGGGATTATCGGCTTGAGCCACCACACCTGGCCCATTTAGTGGGGTTTTTGAAAGGAAACATAGCCGTTTCACTATCGATAACTAAATGGCAGATGTTAGTATCTCAAGTTTGTTTCTTATGGGGTTCCCATTTTCTTATGGGGACTTTGATAATTATTTTTCCTCTTTTTTTTTTTTTTGAGTTGGAATCTCACTCTGTCGTCTAGGCTGGAGTGCAGTAGCACGCTCACGGCCACCGCAGCCATGACCAGCTGGGCTCAGGTGATCCTTCTGCCTCAGCCTTCCAAGTAGCTGGAACTACAGGCATGTGCCACTGTGTCCAGCTAATTTTTTAATTTATTGTAGAAATGAGGTCTCGCCATGTTGCCCAGGCTGGTCTCGAACCCGTGGGCTCAGGCAATCCTCTTACCTCGGCCTCCTAAAGTGCTAGGATTATAGGCATGAGCCACTGTGCCTGGCATTTTTTTCATATTTATGTTTCACTGTAATCACTCTAGAGAAGACTGAGTGAGTTCATGGAACACTTAACTAAAAGTCTTTGAAATTTGCATGTAACTGCCTGACCAAGATATTAGGAAGGAAGGGAACTCATGCTGGCTTGGCCCAGGCTGGGCATTTCCTTTGAGAGAGCAGAGGGCTGGAAAGCCTGAGATCCTGCCTGACCTCTGTGCTTTTTGTGTTGCTTCTGATTTTTTCTGGGAGAGACCTGATAGGAGGGCTTTTGTGCTTGACAGAAAACTCTCAGCAGAGGAATTAGAGCGAAAACGGCAGGAAATGATGGAAAATGCCAAGTGGCGGGAAGAAGAAAGGCTGACCCTCCTGAAGAGGCATGCCAGGGATGAGGAGCGGGAGCAGAGGTTGGAGAAGCTGGACTCCCGGGATGGGAAGTTCATCCAGTGAGTATATCTCCTTCCTGCTGGGGCCTTCAGGGGCTGGTCTTAAGGAGGCAGGCTGGTGCAGGTCCCTCATGTTCTGAGTGTTTCTGTGTCTACCCAGAAGAGCACAGAGCTCAGCCTTCAGGCCACCTAGTTGACTGCTCCTGGTTTCTGGCTTCCAGGTGTTTTTGATTTGAGGGGAGGAGAAGCAAAGTGTTTTTGTTTTTGTTTTTGTTTGAGTCAGAGTCTCACTCTGTTGCCCAGGCTGGAGTGCAGTTGCATACTTACTGCCATTGCAGCCTCAACCTGCTGGGCTCTGGTGATCCTTCCGCCTCGGCCTTCCAAGTAGCTGGAACTGCAGGCACACGCCACTATACCTGGCTAATTTTTTGATTTATTGTAGAGATGAGGTCTCACCAAATTACCCGGGCTGGTCTCAAACCTGTGGGCTCAGGCAATCCTCTCACCTTGGCCTCCCAAATTGCTGGGATTACAGGCTGAGCCACTGAGCCTGGCTCCTATGAACTCTTATTTGAAAGGAAGGCCATGGATGGGAGTGCCACTGCATTCCAGCCTGGGTGAATCAGTGAGACTCCAACTCAAAAAATAAATAAATAAATAAGATTTCATGGTTCAGGAAGCCTGAGTTTAATGAGGATTTGACTCCCTTCCCAAAGCAGATCCATTTTTCCTATGGACACTTTTTTTAAACTGTGGCTCGGATGGAGTCACTTGAAAGTTATCTCTGTGGGGCCTTGAAGGAGCTTGTGCTTCCACAGGTGCTTTAGGCTAGCAACCCATTTCTTCTTAAACCGCCAGATAGTTGACCAACTGGAAAGTTTGTTGACCTCCGTTGGCCTGTTTTCTTTCTAGCCGCATGAAGCTAGAGAGTGCGTCTACTTCCTCCCTGGAGGATCGGGTGAAGCGGAACATCTACTCGCTGCAGAGAACTTCAGTTGCTCTCGAGAAGAACTTTATGAAAAGATGAAGACTGTTCCCTCTCTTACTGGTTTTCCTGAATTTTCTAGGGAGGCTGTGACCCCTTACACATTCTCTTTATAAGAGTTCTAATGACTTCTGCAGATGTCAGACTACCACTGTTCAAAGTGACTCTCCTCCCTCGACTCCTGAGACAGTTTGCTTACTTTGAGAACCGGTGTGACTTGGCAGCATGTAGAGTGGGTTTTGACTGTTAATGGTGATCACTAGAACATCTGAGTGTAAGGACTCAGGCTGTTCTAGAAGGGGTACCCTGGTTTGCAGAGTTTACCATGCCACTTCTTTCCCACCTGTGCAACAAACCTGTTCTACTGTCTCAGTTTAGGCCAGACCTTCCAGAAACTTCTCTCTAGATTCACCTGGGTGGATTGTGCTTACTGAGATAAATGAACATTTATGTGATTTACTAGATCATGTGACAATGATGTCAGATTAGGGCAGAGCCAAGGGAGTAACAGAATCTGGAAGAGAAAACCATACAAAAAGTCCCAAATGAACTGCTGACCACTTGACCTTTGGAACTATATAGAAATGTAATGTCTATATGTACAGATGTATAGTTTTTACATGCTTTTAAAAAATGCTAACTTTATGAGAATATCTTGTTTGGTACATGACCCTGACAGCAACTAATACTATCAGGCAGGCCGGCTCATTTTTCTCCCTGGATCCAGGTGGTTTAGGAGGAGCCTTGGTTTATTGATAGGATACAGAGTATTCATCATTTTCTGCTGCTTGGAGTCCTCAGTGCAAGCAATGCGGCGGTGTAGTCAGATGATTTTAGGGAGCCAGGACCCACTTGCTGGCATACTCTGGGACCCCTAAAGGAAAATAAAACGGAAGCTGTTTCTTTCTTTTTTTTTTTTTTGACTTGAGTTGGAGTCTCACTCCTTTGCCCAGGCTGGAATGCAGTGACATGCTCATGACCACCCCAGCATCGACCTGCTGGGCTCTGGTGATCCTTCCACCTCAGCCTTCCAAGTAGCCGGAACTACAGGCGCACACTATCACACTCGGCTAATTTTTTATTTATTGTAGAGATGAGGTCTCACCAAGTCACCCGGGTGGGTCTTGAACCAGGGGGCTCAGGTAATTCACTCACCTCGGCCTCCAAAGTGCTGGGGTTACAGGCGGAAGCTGTTTATTTCATGGCTTTCTAAAAAAATCATGTAGTAACAAACAACCCTTGATGGTTTTAACTAGGTTAGAATGAAGCCGCAAAATTCAAGGGGCCGCTTTTCTGCCTTTATGCCTTTTCCCTTGTCTTTGAGCAGAAGCCCTCATCTGACCAATGAACTCCCGGCCCTCTTGACCCACACATTAGCTAGGTGACTTTCTTTTTCTGCCAATTCCTAATTCTGCTGAAAACATATTTAGATTTATATTTGTGCGCACTTGTGATGCCAGGCACTGTAATGCCTCAAGCCCGATCTTTCCCCAGACAGAATGTAACATAGCTTGTTATTCAATGTAATCACCTCATCATGCTTCCCTATGCCAGGGTTAATTATGCTTATTTTACTACTTGGTAATAAAGGGTACATTTATTTTTGTAACTGTTTAAAGAACAACCACGTGCGGAGTGCCGGCTTTACGAATCCCCGTACAGAAGGAACAATGTTGGCCCACGATTTGTGTCGAGTGTGTGTAGAGCCTTCATCCGAGAATTATGTAACCGAGTGCGGGGTGCGTACTCAAAGCCTTCACGAAGTGAGCCAGAGACTAAGGCGATTAGGACAGGTGTCTGAGGGCGCCGGCTGCCTCGCACCCGGACCCTTCGCAGGGAGCGGGCGGGCGGCAGGTGGGTGGGCGCGGGCCCCATTCATAAAAGCCAAGCTTCCCCGCCCGCTCCTCATTGGCCCCGGGGGAGAGGGGCGTGGCTCCGGCCCCAGGGAGTGGGAAGGCCCACGCTTGGGTGGAGCGAGGGGGCGTTCCTTGGCTTTCCGGGCCGGCGTTCTCCCCCCTCGCCGCGCGCCTCCTCTCTCCCCGGGGTGGGATGGTACGTCCCGCCCTCCTCGCGTCCCCGCCCTGCTCCCCTCCCGGAGCTGTGGCGCCGCCGCCA